TAATGCTACCACACCACCCATGACTACACCAGGGAATAATGCAACAACAACAGTAAATGCTACTACACCACCTCTAACTACACCAGTGAACAATGCAACAGTAAATGCTACTACACCACCCATAACTACACTCGAGAATAATGCAACAGTAAACGTTACCACAACACGCATGACTACACCAGTAAATGCTACTATACCACCTTTAACTACACCAGAGAATAATGCAACAGTAAATGGTACCACACCACCCATTACTACAACAGTAAATGTTACTACACCACCTTTAACTACACCAGGAAACAATGCAACAGTAAACGCTACCACACCACCTATAACTACACCTGTAAATGTTTCTACACCACTTCTAACTACTTCAGTTAATAACACAACAGTTAATGCTACCACACCACCCATGACTACACCAGGGAGTAATGCAACAACAACAGTAAACTACACCAGAGAATAATGCAACAGTAAATGCTACTACACTCCCCATGACTACACCAGGGAAAACCACACCAACTATGACTACACCTGTAAATGTTTCTACACCACTTCTAACTACTTCAGTTAATAACACAACAGATAATGCTACCACACCACACATGACTACACCAGGGAATAATGCAACAACAACAGTAAATGCTACTGTACCACCCATAACTACACTCGAGAATAATGCAACAGTAAACGTTACCACAACACGTATGACTACACCAGTAAATGCTACTATAGCACCTTTAACTACACCAGAGAATAATGCAACAGTAAATGCTACCACAACACCCATGACTACACCAGTAAATGCTACTATACCACCTTTAACTACACCAGAGAATAATGCAACAGTAAATGCTACTACACAACCCATGACCACACCAGTAAATGCTACTATAGCACCTTTAACTACACCAGAGAATAATGCAACAGTAAATGCTACCACACAACCCATGACCACAACAGTAAATGCTACTTCACCACCTTTAACTACACCAGAGAATAATGCAACAGTAAACGTTACCACAACACGTATGACTACACCAGTAAATGCTACTATACCACATTTAACTACACTAGAGAATAATGCAACAGTAAATGGTACCACACCACCCATAACTACACTCGAGAATAATGCAACAGTAAACGTTACCACAACACGTATGACTACACCAGTAAATGCTACTATACCACATTTAACTACACTAGAGAATAATGCAACAGTAAATGGTACCACACCACCCATAACTACACTCGAGAATAATGCAACAGTAAACGTTACCACAACACGTATGACTACACCAGTAAATGCTACTATACCACATTTAACTACACTAGAGAATAATGCAACAGTAAATGGTACCACACCACCCATAACTACACTCGAGAATAATGCAACAGTAAACGTTACCACAACACGTATGACTACACCAGTAAATGCTACTATACCACATTTAACTACACTAGAGAATAATGCAACAGTAAATGGTACCACACCACCCATTACTACAACAGTAAATGTTACTACACCACCTTTAACTACACCAGGAAACAATGCAACAGTAAACGCTACCACACCACCTATAACTACACCTGTAAATGTTTCTACACCACTTCTAACTACTTCAGTTAATAACACAACAGTTAATGCTACCACACCACCCATGACTACACCAGGGAGTAATGCAACAACAACAGTAAATGCTACTACACCACCTCTAACTACACCAGTGAACAATGCAACAGTAAATGCTACTACACCACCCATAACTACACTCGAGAATAATGCAACAGTAAATGCTACCACAACACCCATGACTACACCAGGGAATAATTCAACAACAACAGTAAATAACCACACCACCCATTACTACAACAGTAAATGTTACTACACCACCTTTAACTACACCAGGAAACAATGCAACAGTAAACGCTACCACACCACCTATGACTACACCTGTAAATGTTTCTACACCACTTCTAACTACATCAGCTAATAACACAACAGTTAATGCTACCCCACCACCCATGACTACACCAGGGAATAATTCAACAACAACAGTAAATGCTACTACACCACCTCTAACTACACCAGTGAACAATGCAACAGTGAATTCCACTACACCACCCATGTCTACAACAGTAAATGCTACTACACCACCCATCACTACTCCAGTAAATGCTACTACACCACCCCTTACTACACCAGGGAACAATGCAACAGTAAACACTTCCACACCACCCATCACTACTCCAGTAAATGCTACTTCACAACCTCAAACTACACCAGGGAATAATGCAACAGTAAATGCTACCACACAACCCATAACTACACCAGGAAACGCTACAACAGAGAATGCTACCCTACCACCTCAGTCTACACCAAGAAATGCTACTACACCACCCATAACCAACTCAACAACTGGACCCACTGTCTCTACCACTAACCCAACTAACACTGCAACCACACCAGGTGTGTTTGAATGAATGTGTTGTGTGATTGTGCATTGCGGAGTAATTCAGAGTAATGCAGAGTTCACAACTGCATTTAATACTTTCTCCCATTCATAAACACTGAGTGACATGACATCTTTTTTTTTTTCTTTTAGCTACCTGTCCTGCAGTGCCCTGTCCACCACTCAGTGTCTGTGTGAACTCCACCTGTCAGTGCGTGACAGGAACTATTCCTTTAAATAATGCCTGTGTGGAAAGTAAGTATCTGATGCCAAGCCTCTGGCCACATATCCTTTTTCTTACACAGGGCCATGGGGCATTACAAAAATCCTTCTATACTTAATTTGTATATAATCATATGATTCTAGTGATTATTGGGAAGAATCTTTGTAGTAAAAAGACTACCAAGACAATCACTTTAACACCCCCACTCTCTCGCCTCACATTCTGTTTATTTCCAGCTAAAACCTTCAGTAGTTCACTTCGGGTGAACCGCACTTTTGTAAATGCTATGAATGATCCCAAATCACCTGAATTCCAGGAAACTGCTAAAGAGATAATTACTGCGGTAGGTCACCAACTTACATTACAATCTGATCTTTTAACTTTAACATTTCACTTATTACTTTTAAAGATTTATTTCTATACACTGATTTATTTCCATTACATGTGCAGTTAACAATATGGAATTAATAATTAAATTAATAACTCTGCAAAATAAATATATTAATACAAATTTGGATAAAGTTATGTAATTTTTTTGTGTGTGTGTGTGTGTGTGTGTGTACTTAGATACTATATTCAACTTTGAAATAAAGTTGAAATATTGCTTTATATTGCTTTGGTAGTACAGACTGTTTTAGTTTAATTGTCATGCCAATAAAACTTGGGACTGCCAAAGTAAAAAAAAAAAAACTATATGCTGGATCAATATCCTTCATTCTCAGTGAGCCTAAATAATTACTCTTTCCTCCCTTTTGCCATAGGTAAATGAAGCTCTGCGTAACCAGCCAAACTACATTAACAGCATAGTAATTAAACTGATGTAAGTGACCCTTTGAAAACAGTTCTTAACCACAGCTCTTACACATATGTATCATATTTGCAAATTACTAATCTCTTTGTATATATTTTTCTAGGTCTGGCAGTATAGTGGCCTCAGTAAACAGTTTTTTTGAGCCCAATTCTCTAGTCACACAGGAATCGGTTATATCTGCCATGAATACTGCTATAAGAGATTGTGGAGTGACAAGCTGTGGCATTCTTACTAATGCTCAATACACTGGTGAGTGGCTTGAAAAGATGTGTTGAAGAAGCTGTGATATGAACAGAGAGAAGCAGGTGTTTTAATGTCCACATAGAAAACCATACACTACATTACACTGGTTTTACAAACATACTGCTTTCACATAATTGTATAAAACAATTTTTATATTAAATCTTTTTTTATTTACATTATTTGACAAACATTCTAAACCTTAATTCCTGTTTAGACAACAGGTTACCTTCAGAGTGTTAACATCAAATGCATGTAGAACACTTTGTTAATTTCCACAAAGATTAGTAAAGCAACTTCTCTTTGCAGTTGATAGTGGCCTCAGTAAACAGTTTTTTTGAGCCCAATTCTCTAGTCACACAGGAATCGGTTATATCTGCCATGAATACTGCTATAAGAGATTGTGGAGTGACAAGCTGTGGCATTCTTACTAATGCTCAATACACTGGTGAGTGGCTTGAAAAGATGTGTTGAAGAAGCTGTGATATGAACAGAGAGAAGCAGGTGTTTTAATGTCCACATAGAAAACCATACACTACATTACACCGGTTTTACAAACATACTGCTTTCACATAATTGTATAAAACAATTTTTATATTAAATATTTTTTTATTTACATTATTTGACAAACATTCTAAACCTTAATTCCTGTTTAGACAACAGATTACCTTCAGTGTTAACATCAAATGCATGTAGAACACTTTGTTAATTTCCACAAAGATTGGTAAAGCAACTTCTCTTTGCAGTTGTATTAAACTGCAAAAGATTGTTCCTCAAATAAGAATACAATACAGTGCCAGTGCCTAAACATGGAGTGTTTAGCAGAGCATGTGAGCGAAGCGGAGCGGTGTGACGCTCCGCTGCTTCAGATTCCAATATGAATCTTTACTAACTCTCCCCGCACTCCCTCTCAGTTTCTTCTCCCTGCTCATTCTTAACTTTGATTTTTACTTTACATTTATGTATAAGGCTTGCAACTTCGTTGAAACAATATCTGGACTCCATAACTGCTCTACTATTCTCGATCTCTACAGATTCTCGATCTCGAACAAGCAAATCACCAAACGGCATTCTGGGTTGAGCGAGCGATGCTGAGCGTATTGAGCGAGCGGAGCGGAATCTTCAGAAAGGCGCTCTGCGCTCTTAAGGAAATATTACCACTCCGCTCCCCGCTCCGCTCACGCTCCGATCCGCTCACATGCTCTGGTGTTTAGAGATGTTTAACCATGACTCTGGCCATGTTTTGTAATTGTGAATATTTTAGATCACATAAAAGATTGTCTTTCTATATCCCTAAAATATACTGGAGTTTTCTACATGAAATACTTCCAAGATACTGATATGACCACTATGCCACACATGCTATCATCTAAAACTAATTAATTATTGCTAAACAATTTTATTAAATATTGAATTGATTTGCATTTTTTATATAATTATAATGCATGTAGCTTTTTATGACTTGATATTAAATTAGAAACTACATTAAATATTTATATATTTAGAAATTCATTTGTTACTTCGTAGGACCAATTAAAATTAACCAGTGAAGGTAAACATGATAAAAATGGCTAAAACAATTAAAGGACCAAAGAGACACTTTCCGTCATACATCTATCTAAACGACTACCCACTAATATGTTGTCTGTCTCCCTGTCTCTTTCTTTATAGCAACCAACCTGTGTGAGCAAGATCTTCCTCCTTGTGATGTTGACACTACAGTGTGTGAGGCCAAAGATGGGACCCCTGTTTGTACCTGTAAACCTGGCCATGTATCTAGCCAATACCAGGCCAGAAGCTGTAGAGGTGAGCATGTGTCTTTATTACTCCATTTGTATGGACTACCATCTGTGTTTGTGTGTGCATATCATAATCATCCGTGACCTTTGAGTTTGCTGTGGTTTTATCCATGGTAACAGACAAATGAATCCTGGTCTGCTGAGATAAGTGTTGAGAACATACAGTACACTCACCAAACATTAAACAACGAAGAATGAAAAACAATGAAGAAATAAAACAATTATAAAATAAATAAATAAGAGAATACAAAAATAATACAGTTTCATGGCCAGTGTTTTTGGCTGGTAAAATTATTATTTTTTGATTCTGCAAAAAAAGTTAATTTCTGCTCTTGAGTGAGATTCTCAGCAACAGGAATCACACAATCATAGCAAATTTAAAACTATCCATAGTTTAGTTCATTGTTTTTCTGTCTGCTTCACCATCTTTCTATGATTCAGTCTATTTACTCTCTACTCTTTTCACAGTTTGCCCTAGTGGATACAAAGCGCAAGAGAACATGTGTGTTCAGTGAGTACCATTTCATTTCTTTGTTCTTAATAAACACTCTCTTATACATCATTAAATACATATCATCTCTTAAACTACAATACAAACTTTTTATGTTTGTCCAATAGGGAAAAAGTACAGTGTTTAAATAATAGAGATTTTCAGTCATGGCGTCAATTTGTAGGCCAACCTGTAAGGCCTTAAAATAGAGGTTTTCATTTGATTAAAACAAGGTCGGTGTGTAATTTATCTGTTCCAGTAATGTGAACCATATTCATACCTCAAACATGATGGTTCAGAAATACTAAATGTCTTCCTTGTTACAAACTAAACGGCTCTATTCAATAGTTGCGTGTATCATCAGTGTATTTGTAATAGAAACTACTGCCCCCTTGTTTCAAGGCAATATTGCAACAGTCACATCACTGTTTCAGCATGTTTATGTCCTTTTCTTAAACAGATGTCCATTTGGCTATTCTGGATTCAACTGTGATGACTGTAAGATATTATTATTACAGTATTTCCTCATTTTTAACCATTAAAGTAATTTTGTGTATATGTGTGTCTAATGACCTTGTCTCTCTGTGTAGCCTCTTTGTTGGCTCTAGTGGTGGTGGCGTGTGTGTTAGGGGGAATTCTACTCATTGTGATTTTGGCTGTTCTCATCTACATCTGTGTAACTCGTGGGTGAGTATTTATGAGAGGTCAGGTATAGGGCGTGCATTTCAATGTCTCTATGCGAGTCTTTTATGCTTGTTTATGGATGTACATTTCCCAATTTGTGTGTTTATTACTTATTTTACAGCAAGAAGTCATCAAACAGCAATTATTACAGCAGCCCGTACCCTGCTGAGGAGTTCCGGGCCACGTGGCCCTCTCAGAATGTAACCCATATTCCTCGTGCCACTCTGGCATCTAGTTCCAGCATTGATGCCACTGGCAACAGTCTAGAGATGGCTGAAGGGCCAGGCAGGAAAGGCCACAGTAATGGATTGGTGAGTACCTCCTTCCATTCAAAACTTCACAAATAAGTTTTGTGAAAAAACTTATTTGAAAACAAAACAATTTGGTTCACAGAGCAGTTACACTTATCTTTAACTTACAGTGGGTTTTGTATTGTTTCAAAGACAAGCTTATTTGTGGACCTTTTTTCATTGAATAATTAATTATTGTAAAATTAAATTACTTTTTAAATGTATGTTCTAAGTAAGATGCTTAAAGGATGCATAAGCACTACTGTTCAAAATTTGGGGTCAAGTTTCCACAAAAATATTAAGCAGCACAACTGTTTTCAACATTGATAATAATAAGAAATGTTTCTTGAGCAGCAAATCAGCATATTAGATCAATTGACACTGAAGACTGAAAATTCAAATGTGCCATCAATAAATTAAACTTTAAAATATAAAGTTATTTTAAATTGTAATATTTTTCACAGTATTGCTATTTTTACTGTATTTTTGATCAAATAAATGCAGCCTTGGTAGACATAAGAGAGTTCTTTCAAAAACCATTAAAAATCGTACTGACCCCCAAACTTTTACAGTAGTCTAAAATTATCTTATTTATATACTATATGACATATTATTTTATATTGCTTAATTTGTATTACTAATAATTATACCTTTTTTTTTTTAATAATAATTTTAAGAAATTGCCCCACTGTAAGTTACTTAAAGTGCCCCTATTATGCCATTTTTACGGTTCCTAATATTGTTTTGGGAGTCTCCTACAACAGGATTACATGCATGCAAGTTCAAAAACGCTTTCGTTTTCTCAAAATATGCACTTAATATCACCTAATTTTCCAGCGATTCTCAAACGATTCATTTGAAGCAGTTCAAAGATTCGGTCTCTCTAAACCCCTCCTTTACATGAGCCTGCTCTGCTCTGATTGGTCAGATGGCCTAGTCTGTTGTGATTGGTCTACAGCGTACAGCGCGTTTCGGAAATGATACGCCTATTTCAATGGTTCTGTATTTTGAACGCTCTATAGAAAATATAAACATCTATTATTTATCATACTTACAGGTTGTGATTCAGTGGAGCAGCTGGTCCAAATAAACAGGATACTGATCCATCTTTCAACAGCAAGCGTTTTGTGAATCCCGCGTTAAACTCCCCGAGATTAGAGAAGCAGTCGACAGTAAAATGACGTATTTAAGGGCGGGTCAAGTTGTTTGCTGCCGGCCAACATAGAACATAGGCGCGCATTATGCAAATGTGTTACCCCGTGATGTGTAGCCATCACGGAAGTGGGATTCGAATTACTAACGACTCGTTTCAGCTGTTCAGAGTCGATTCTTTCTTTTGGGAGACAATAACTTTATCGTGCACTTTCAGCTTTAGAACTTTGCAGATCGTTTACATTCACATACAGCTACATTACACACTGCATGAAAGGCAATATTGGAAATGGCATAATAGGGCCACTTTAAAATTCTTCCATTAATCCTGCATGTATCTCATACTAACACTAATAATAGTGTCATCTGCCACCCCTAACAAATACTAAATATATTGTTCAATCAGACCCTTGTCCATTTCCAAATCTTTAGCTACTCTGCTTGCCAAGCTGAACTCCAATGACATACTCCTAATTGATCCAAAGATTGGATTATTCAAATTTTCTCTGAAGTATTACTTGACTGAATGACTGAAGTCCATTATGAGCAGTTGTAGTCCTAACAAGGCCACATATTAAGAGGGTCTATTGCATTAGTGAAACAACTGCTTTTGTGGTTAGCGGAAAGCTAACAGTAGTACATAGTACTTGGGAAACTGGACCTTCCCAGTTTCCCAGATTTCATAACTTTAATGTTTGAAATCATAATTTTATCATAATGGATGTACAAGTTTTGTGATTAGTTAGCTCATAAACAAACCTCTTTGTGTGTGTGTGTTTGTGCACGTATTTGTGGTCACTGTGTTGTGTGTGTGGTATCCCGTATATGGGCTTGATTTCTCCTCACTCCAAACACAATGACTGTAGAAGATTGGAGGAAAGGTAAGTCACCGACTCCTGGTGTGTCCTGGTGCATCATCAGGGACTGTAAAAGGCAAAGACAGTCCACTGATACATATATGAATGCACAACATACTGGCTGTGGTTCCACCTTAAACTTAAAAGAGCCAATTGCATTATTGAAACACTCAAAATAATGGCTGTAGGAATGGAAGTCCCATCTCACAGTTAAAATATACAGCTTAAATAAATGCTGTTATTTTGAACTATTTGTCAAAGAATCCGGAAAAAAAATGTATCATTCTCTACAAAAATATTAAGCAGAACAATTGTGTTTAACATTGATAATACTAAGAAATGTTTCTTGAGCAACAAATGAGCATATTAGAATGATTTCTGAAGGATCATGTGACAGCTATGTATATATGCACCCCAATAATCCATTAGAAATTGGACTGATGGCTCAATCCGACTGAAAAGCCTGCATATAAACACCTTTATAGATCTGAATGAAATTTCGATCGGATTGAAAGGGGTGTAGACCTTTTCTAATCCGACCGAGAGGACATGTAAACACTTGATCAGATTGAAAACCGACACTGAAAAGCACTGTGCGTGTGCAATGACGTAGAAATGGCGTAATGACACATGACGCGTGGAACGAGCTGTTGTTTTTGTAGAATTAAGTGTCTTAAATGACTGCTTGATAAATAAAAGTATCATGGTACAAAGCTTCACATGCTCATCTTCTAATTAGGATAAATATTAAATATTAAGAAAGGAAGCAATGACAGGAGAATAGTATGTGCAAACCGCAGGAATTCTCTGTATATTTGTGCGCATGTCAAAAGATCAAATACGATATTGAAGCTTGTGATATAAACGGTGCACATCAACCCAATCACTTTATTTAGCGTTCATGTAAACACTATGTTCGGATTCATCAATCAGATTGATTTTATTCCGATTGAAACAAAGTGTCCATGTAAACATAGCCCCTGAAGGCTAGAGTAATGATTCTGAAAATGCAGCTCTGCCATCACAGGAATAAATTACATTTTGAAATAATAATATTTTAAACTAATAATATTTAATAATATTTGTATTTTTACTGTATCAAATAAATGCAGCCTTGGTGAACATAAAAGACCGTTAAAACCATTAAAAAACTACCAGACCCCAAACTTTTCATTTTAGTTATTGAAATGTAATTTCAACTAACATTTACATAAATCGTGGTCTTTCATGGCTTGTATGGTTGAAAACTGCGTTACAAATATGGCTGCCAAGTGAACTGACTTGCCTTAAAGGGACTTTAGTGTCCAAGTTCTTTCATGTAAAGGAATATTCTGGGTTAAACACAACTTAAAGTTTAAGTGAGTACCTTCTGCAGCATTAGCATCAACAAAATAATGAATGTACCACCAACCTTCGTCATCACCTACGTATTTAACCTAGAAGGAATATTCCTTTATTTTCCTCTTTTCTCTTTGTGACTGGCATCATCACTTGCCACCGCTATATACCCTCTACATTCTGAAGTGAATTACTGTTACGTTTGGGATGAAATCTTGATTTCGATCTCTGGTTTGACTTGTTGCATGCCATCATATGCTTTGCATGAATTTTTAAGCAGGTAATTGCAATTTTCCTGCATGCTGGTATTATAAGATGAGATGTGCTGAGAGAATGAAGGGTTGTGGGTTGTGTTTACCTGTACGTGGCTAATATGGACTCGTTTCTTCTGCAGTCGGGCTCGTATGACCTCAGAACAGATGGCATGAGGACCTTTAAGGACATAAACCCCACACGGTACTCTTATCTGATGGGTCATGAAAACCCCTACTTCACACAAGGAAATGAGAAGAGATGAGGAAAACAGCAGAGAAATCCAGTGAGAAGTAAGAGGACAAGAAAAGAGTGCAATAACGACATGAATTATAAAAAGGCCTTGGATCAAAATGTTTCAGGAACGTTAACGCTGTCAAAACCAAACAGCTGATCACAGACTCAAAGAATATACACAAACGGCATTTGAGAGATACTTTATATATATATATATATATATATATAT